CCTAAACCCTAAACCCTAAACCCTAAACCCTAAACCCTAAACCCTAAACCCTAAACCCTAAACCCTAAACCCTAAACCCTAAACCCTAAACCCTAAACCACTGATGATGGCCATTCAGTGGCCGAAATGCATTTGCAACAGTTATTTCAGCAGCCCTAGGGCGTTTCCTTAGCTTGAAAAGAGAAGAATAGATTAAAATATGTTTTTTTCCGCGTATCTCACGGGGCTTTTCGCGAACAACATCGCGTCACCGCACTGAACCGTAATCGCGATTTTAGTAGGCGAGTCTTTTCCTGGCGAGAATTTTCTTTTTTTCTCGCCAAGTCAACTCGATTTCCCCCCCCCCCCCCCCCCCCCCACCCTCGATTCTCGAATCTTGACCCCCGAGGCGCGCGAGTCAAATGCGCGCCTCGGTTTCGTTTTTTTCAGCACCCCCACCCAATTTCAATTCGACCCAAATCCCCCCTCCCCAACTCACTCGCCACTCACCTCCTCCTCCTCTCACGCTCTCTACCTTTAGTAGCCGCCAAGGTAGTAAAGCCGCCCCAGTTTAAACTGGGCATTGCTAGCAGCTGCAGCTAGGCTTATTTTTTTAAATCAAACCCTAAACTACGCCGCGCGACGTACTTCAGATCGCACGAAGGAGTCGGAAGCCGGCTACTAGTATGACGGTTTACCTTGGCACGAGATCACAAACTTCTAGAAGGAGCAGCCACACTCACCATCAGCTAAGCACAATTAGGAGGCGGCTTGGTGTCAACTTCAGAGAAGCAGCGGCACGGAAAGCATCAGGCACTGGTACTTCAGGGGCCAGATCGGATTTCTCAGAGGTACCAAGGGCGGATTACGCCACGTCAGAGAACTCCCCCCTGCAAACTCCCTCTGTCCAATCCGCCAGCTCAGGACACGACGGATACGCCGAGCCAATGGCTGGAGAGGAGATGGGAGCGGGATCAGGCGCAGGGGCAGGCGCTCATGAACACGGCACACAGGCAATGCCTGAGATTTCAGCCGTCACGGATGCAGTAGCCACACCTGCAGCAGCGTCAACAGGCTTGGGGACAGCACCGGCAGGCATGACGGCACAGGCCACAACCGCAGCAGCGCCCGTAATCACACCGGCGGGCACAGAGGCGATGAAGACACCGACAGCCACAGCAGCACCCATGAGCACGAACGTAACCGCCACAACAGCAGTGACCACACCTGCAGCAGCGGCAACAAGTTTGGGGAGAGCAGCTGCAGGCTTGATGACACAGACCACAAACACGGCAGCGCCAGTAATCACACCGGCAGCTGCAACAGCCATGAACACACCAACAGTCGCAGCAACAACCGTTAGCACGGCAGTGGCGAGCTCACCTGAACTGACACCACTAGAACCGACAGCCCCAGCTATGGAACCTCCAACCATCAACCCACCCGCAGACCCATCTACACCTAGTATCTCACTGGTCGACGACACAAGGTATGTTGGTACGCCAGATAGCTGGTACACGTACCTATACACCGACCTGCTCAAGGGGGCAGTAGCTCTCCTTGATACCATCTCCCCGAGGCGTTCCCCACCAGAGGCACCCACAGCACCAGCATCTCCCCTTACCCACACGTCAACTCCTACCGCCCCACAACCATGTCTGAACCCACCAGCAGCACAGGCCAGCCCGATGCCAGGCATGCTACTGGTAAAAAACACTAGCAGCCGTTCCATGCAAGGTGCCGAGATCAACGGCAAGGAGGGATTGGAAACAGGGGTAGGCACAACAGAGACCGGTACAGCAGGGGAGGTGCAGGTGGAACAACGCCTCACAGCAACAACGGCAGGCAAAGACAAGGAGGGAGCGGATAGGGAACGGGAGACCAGGACAGATGCAGGTGCAACCGTCACAGCACGGGGTAGGTTACAATCTACCCCAGCAGCGGCGGACGTCAGCGGAGAACTAGTGAGGCCTCCGGAAGCAGCAGAGACCACAGAGGCACCTGCAGCAGCAGCATCTCTTCCTGCCCACACACCAACTCCCACCGCCCCACACCCATGGCTGAACCCACCAGCAGCACAGGCCAGCCCGATGCCAGGCATGCTACAGGTGGGAAGCACCAGCAGCCTTTTCATACAGGATACTGGGATCAGTGGCAGGGAGGGAGTGGAGACAAGGGGAGGCAGAGCAGAGACCGGTACAGCCAGAGAGGCGCAGGTGGAACAACAGCCCACCACTACAGCGGCAAACAATGACAGGGAGGGAGAGGACCGGGAAGGAGAACCCAGGACAGACGCAGCAGTCACAGAACAAATGAGGATGACAGAGGTAGCAGGGACCAGCGCAGCCGCTGCAACGCAGACGGCAGGACAACCTGCGTTAGCAGCCGGAAGCGCAAGAGGAGCAGAGGTAGAGATTTTGGTGCCACCAACCATGAAGCTGGGAGAAACCTTGGTTGTCACGAGCAGCCGTGTCAACGATTTCCTACGAGCTTGCGAAGGCACTGAAGAACTTCCCTCTAAAGGAACTACACCCACGCTGCCACCCACGACCACACTGCAGGAAGGACAGAGCCGCCCGGTCAACCTCACACCATCATCACAGGCACAGGGTGATGCAGCAGCAGCTACACCACAAACACAACAGCCCGAGCAGCAGCAGAAGGACAGCAGCATTGAGGAAACCAGCAGTCAGGGAACCAGCAGTGAGGAGACCATCGGTGAAGATGCCAACAGAGATGGGACCCAAGTCCTCTACTGCCCTATCGAGTTTGACCCGTGTGGAGGAGAGGACGAAGCAGAACAGCCCATGAGCCCCATGAGTCAGACCCATGCCACCCCGGGGTATGTGAAGCTGACAAAGAGGGAGATTGGCAAGGCGGCAGCAGCTCTGATGCAGGGGGAGCAGTCCGGCATGAAGGGGTTGGAAGCGGCATATGGGCTTCCGGAAGGGGAAGACCTCCCTGCGGTATGGCACCGTTTCTTCGAAGATATGCAGTCACTGCTACTCAACAAAGCACCACCAGAGGCCCCCACCTCCTCACCCTTCAAGACCTTGCCCGAGCTCTTGTGCAAGGCACTCAAGGAGGAGCTAACTTCCTTCAAAAACTGCCTGCGCACTTTCAGCAAAGTAGCAAAGGGCCTATGCGAACTCCGGCAGCAGTTCAGACAGGGAGAAGTCACCCACGCTCTACGGATTTCAACCCCCAAACTACAGCTAACCGACCCCATCCTACAGGATAAGCTGAACCAGGACCTGGATAAGGAGCTGAAAACCTTCAAAACGAAGGCCCAGCTGACCCTGATGGCGTACAAAGAGAAGGAGAAGGCTGTGTGTGAGACAGCCGCAGAGGTCTGGTCGGCACGGACTTTCTCCGGTTTCAAAAGCTTCCTAGAAAAAGACCTCCACCTCTTCGAGACCCACGCAGCACCCAACACCCCTGCTCCTGACGCTTACCTCAAGGAGCTGGCCGCTGACTTCATGGCACGCGGCATGGCACGCGAGCTGATGTACCATGCAGTGTGGATAAAGCGCAGCCGCAACTCGAAGGCAAGGGTGACGGCTAAACGGGAGAAGGTACGGGATGAGCAAGCACGGGGGGTGGAGATTCAAGCTAACCCCTCTACCGATCTAATCGCCCTGGTGAAAACGCTGGTCAGCCCTCTGCAACAGCGAGTCGAGGCTCTGGAACAACGCCAGTCAAAGAGTGGGCCTTCGGTAGAGCCCAGGAAGCCAGCAGGAAAATGCAAGGCACAACGCCGGAAGGAAGCAAAGAAAAACAAGGCACGAAACCGAACCATCCCTCAGCAACCCACAGCAACGACAGCCCCTCAGACGGAGGGAACCACGGGGGGGGTGACTGAAGCAAGGGCACAAGCTACACCGGCAGCAGTTGCTGCAGTAGCAGCAGGACCAGCAGCAATTGCAAGCGCCGCGCAAGGAGCAGCAGGATCAGCAGCAGCAGTGGCGCCAGCCAGTGCCACTACACAACCAGCAGCAGTACCAGCACTGGCAACACCACGGGCGACAGGTACAGCAGCTGCAACATCGGTAGCAGCTGAGGTAGCTGCACAGCCGGCACCAGTGGCGGCTAACCCTGCAACACTCCCGAGGCACACGGATGGCACACGACGGGGAAGGCGCCTGCAGGCGGCAGAGAGGACCTCGCAGCCGTCCGCGGCAGCCAGGGCGACTGCTGCGGCGGTGAAGGTAGCTATGCGTGGTTTGAAGGTAAACCTGTCTAGACAACGCCGCACTGAGACAGCCTACACAGCTCTACAGAAACCATGGCAGCAGCACTATGCTCTTCGTATGGCACCCCAGCACCTCCCACAGTACGGAAGGCCAGCAATGCTCGCAGGCAGGAGCGCACCACAGAGAGCACCGGCACAAGCACAACAGAGGGAACACATGGAAGAGAGAGGCCGTTTGAGTGGGACAGAGCGGGAACCGCCTCAGAGCACACGGTTAGATCAAGGGCAGCCAGCGCAGACCGGGCAGCTGCCCGATACTGGACCCGCACTTGACCGCACAGCTCTACAGGCACAGGAGGCGGCTGACCGCACTCAAACTGCGCTAGCACAGAATGCACAGCAGCCCAACACCCCTGCCCAACCCGCGCTGCAGGCACCCATGCAACCAGCAACATCTGCATACCCTTTCATGGCAGCCCCCTCATTCCCCAGCATGTACCAGCAATACCCCTTCGCACCCATGCAACCCACCATAGCCACTGGCAGCCATTTCCTGCCACACACACACCCCTTCCTCTTCTCCCAGCAGGCTATCCCCCTACAACACACCTCGGCACCCGCTCAACCTGCTCTCTCAAACATGTCGGTCATGCCAGCAGCACCTGCACCTCCGGCATACACTTACGCATCCACGACTCCCCCTCCCCAGCAGGTCGCTCAAGGACCGCAAGCTCAAATGGCTTTCGGGCCCCCCGAGGGTACGGGGGCACCGCTCAACATCAACTATGCCCCTGCTGCCTTTGGCATGCCCATGCGTTTTTTATGCTGACGATCCCTCCCCTTCCCACCCAGAATAACGCAGCTGACCCATCAAATCCAAGAACAGGCACGGGTCACAACGCTACCCCAAGGTATGTACACCAGCCCCCACTCAACCCGTTCCCTCTCCCCAGCCAACTAAACACACCTCTTAATGCCCCTCGCCAACGAACCAACGTAAATACCAGACCTAGAGACATACCAGGCCAGCCCTCTTACTCTCTGCCCAGCTCCTCTAACACCCCACCGTCAAAGGGCGTGTCTCATAGAAACGAGGTAAGCCCCCCTCCCTTACACCGCTCAGCTGCACCAAATGATACCAACCAGCAGGTAAGCATTCCCAAAGCCGAGAAGCAACCCCGTTCAAGACCCAGGAAAACCAACTTCAGCAGCCCTCTGACCCCAACCCAGAAACGTCTCCTACGAACATCCCAAATCATTGTCCAAGACGAGCTCAACTCCAAGTTCATACACAACAAATCCACACTCAACTTATCACCCACAGAACTTGAGGGCCTAAGCCTAGGACTCTCGTTCATCCCAACACCCTCACCCCCCACTGAAAAAACAGTAAGGAGTGCCCTCGCACGTTTCGTGAGAAGTGTGAGGCTTATCTCACACTTCTCGTCCAACAGACCAGCCCCACGCTTCCGTATCCCAAAACCATCCTATCAGCCCGACCCTGCACTGCCTCCTGTCGAACGCTATATCGCTGAGGTGGAAGAAAAAATTTCTGAGCGTCTTCCACTGATGACGCGCCCAGCTCGCAGGAACATGAGCGTGCATGCGTTGCGATGCTTGAAAAGGCTGGGCAAGAACCCAAATGTCGTGGTGAAGCCAGCGGACAAAAATCTAGGACTGGCCCTACTAGACACCTCTTGGTATCGAACGGAGGCACTCAGACAGCTATCAGACACTAGCACATACACCCTAGTGGAATCGGTACCTATGACCGACCTGCGCGAACGCCTTAACACCTGGTGCTCGAGGTACGAGAGAAGTTTCCCTCCGGAAACCATCGAGTACATCCTGCAACCAAGAGTTGAAGAGCGCGCAGGCGCGGAACACGGGCAGTTTCGTGTATGCAGATTCTACATGCTATCGAAACTGCACAAGACGCCAATCAAAGGAAGACCGATCTGCTCATCTACACTCTGGATTTTCGAGCATGCCAGCCAGGTACTAGATCACTATCTACGCCCGCTTCTAACCTTGGCACCAGCCCACTTACCAGACTCGATCACCCTGCTGCACACGCTCCGCACCCTACCGATACCTGAACACGCCATCTTTCTGACGTACGATGTGGAAAGCCTGTATCCGTCTATTCCGTTACAGCAAGGCCTCACCGCCATTCGAGAAACGAAAGACAAATTTATACGCAAGCATGGTTACCCGGTGTACTCGGAGAAGGGCCCCGCTAAGCAGCTCAGTGCTTGTTGCGCACTGCTCGAGCTAGTCATGACTGAAAACCACCTTCAGTTTGACGAGAGGTTCTATCGACAGATCCGCGGTACTGCCATGGGGACCCCAGTAGCAGTGATCTACGCAGTGCTGTTCATGAGCTGGTTGGACACCCTCATGGAGGAACGATACCCTTCACTATCAGAGCACGTACTACTGCACAGACGATATATCGACGACGGACTTGTGGTCTGGACAGGATCGCTAGCAGATCTACACAGCTGGATAGAGGGGTACAACAGTCTCATGGATGGCATCCGCATCACTACCGAGATTAGTGCCACAGCATTTACACTGCTCGACATCACTTTCAAAAAAGGTACGCAGTGGGAAAATACGCGGAAGGAGAATGCTGGAGGCGGTTTTTTGGATACCTCGGTATACCAAAAGCCGTTGAACGTCTATCAATACTTCCCGTTCCACTCTGCACACCCGCGACACTGCAAGCGAGGCTTCATTATCGGTGAACTGTACAGGTATCTCCTGAGAGAGTCCTCAGAGGAAGGTTTCCGACGTATGAAGTCTGCATTTGCAGCACGCTTGAAAGCACGCGGCTACCACCCGACTTTCATTCGACAGATTTTTGACGAGGTACAGTACAGCGACAGGGACGCGCGCCTGCAACACTCGGAAAAAGGTAAACAGCGCGACAGCAGGGTACTGCCTTTCGTACTAGAGTACCACCCGAGCCTCGAGCACACACGTGTAAAATCCGTGCTTCGTTCCGAGGTGAGCAAGGCAACCTTAGAGACGCTCTGCCCGAGACAGCCTTTCTTTTGCTTTCGCGCAGCACCTAAGCTCAGGAATGTGCTAGTCCGCGCTGCGTTCACAAGCGAGGATGCTCCAGATCCATCGGAGTGCAGTGCCGCATGAGTGCGACGCAGGGTTCGCTTACACACCACATCGGATTTCCCACTGAGTGCTCTCTTCCCACCTTACCTCGTCTCTCACTTGGCCGCACAGCCCCCGTCTCTTTCATGTCCTCCTTTTTCCCTCCTCCCCCTCCCCTCCCACACCCCTCCAGACTTCTCTCAAGACAATGCAATGACCTATACCACTCATACTCATGCCTCGGTCTGTCTCTCTATTCCTTCCAACACCCCTCTCTCCCCACATACACACACTCACACAACCCACCTGTATCAACAATCATCGCACACATCCCCGCCTGCATATCATCCAAGACATGCACAATCATCACACCATCCAGTGCAGACACGCATGCCCACCAACAACACTCGCCCCACGCTAAGCCCCCACGCAACACTGCGCACTGCACACAACTGCCGGCATGAGCAAACACGCGAGCACGCTGATAGTGACACTGACCGACAGCCCAATACAGTGCGCGCGTTGCCTAGGCGGGTTTACATTCAAAATCCCACGCATATCTATTTTCACCATGCGTCCCCTCCTGTCATGTCCCTGCCTAGCATTTTTCCCTGCCATGCGCCATACGTGTACCTTGCGCTTTACTACTCTGCAGGTATAAACTCCCCAAGAGCACGCCACAGGGACAGTAAAATATAATCGGCAACGCCCTAAGACCACATCATAATGTTTTCTTAGTTGATTATCTCACTTGAAGCAAATAGAATAGCCTTTGGGTGTTGTGTAATTTCAGTGAGGCGCTACTACAGGGGATGGGACTCTCTTCCCCAACCCTGTCTTCTCTACTTAGGCTAGGTTTCGCCACTCTTGCTGCTGTTAGCACTGATGATGGCCATTCAGTGGCCGAAATGCATTTGCAACAGTTATTTCAGCAGCCCTAGGGCGTTTCCTTAGCTTGAAAAGAGAAGAATAGATTAAAATAGGTTTTTTTCCGCGTATCTCACGGGGCTTTTCGCGAACAACATCGCGTCACCGCACTGAACCGTAATCGCGATTTTAGTAGGCGAGTCTTTTCCTGGCGAGAATTTTCTTTTTTTCTCGCCAAGTCAACTCGATTTTCTCCCCCCCCCCCCCCCCCCCCCCCCCCCCTCGATTCTCGAATCTTGACCCCCGAGGCGCGCGAGTCAAATGCGCGCCTCGGTTTCGTTTTTTTCAGCACCCCCACCCAATTTCAATTCGACCCAAATCCCCCCTCCCCAACTCACTCGCCACTCACCTCCTCCTCCTCTCACGCTCTCTACCTTTAGTAGCCGCCAAGGTAGTAAAGCCGCCCCAGTTTAAACTGGGCATTGCTAGCAGCTGCAGCTAGGCTTATTTTTTTAAATCAAACCCTAAACCCTAAACCCTAAACCCTAAACCCTAAACCCTAAACCCTAAACCCTAAACCCTAAACCCTAAACCCTAAACCCTAAACCCTAAACCCTAAACCCTAAAACCCTAAACCCTAAACCCTAAACCCTAAACCCTAAACCCTAAACCCTAAACCCTAAACCCTAAACCCTAAACCCTAATCCCGGCGCGCTGCCTGCGGGGCGCGCTACCCGCGGGGCGCGCTACCTGCAGGGCACGATACCTGCGAGGGCGCGCAGCCTAGGGGCTGGGCGACGCGCGGGCTAGGGGCAGGGCGCACGGGTGCGCACGGGCTAGGGGCAGTGCGCACGAACGACGTGACGGGCTGGGGCAGGGCGCATGGGCGACGTGACGGGCTAGGGCAAGGCGCACGGGCTAGGGCAGGGCGCACGGGCTACGCGACGGGCTAGGGCAGGGCGCACGGGCTACACGACGGGTTAGGGCAGGGCGCACGGGCGACGCGACGGGCTGGGGCAGGGGCCACGGGCCACGCGACGGGCTGGGGCGGAGGCGCGATACGGAGGGCGTGGAGGGCGCGTAGGGGAGGGCTAGGCGCGGAGGCGTGGAGGGCGCGTTACGGAGGGCTCGGAGGGCGCGTTAGGGAGGGCGCGGAGGGCGCTAGGTCGCGGAGGGTGCTAGGGCGCGTGACGGAGGGCGCGTAAGGCGCGGAGGGCGCTAGGGCGCGTGACGGAGGGCGCTAGGGCGCGTGACGGAGGGCGCGTAAGGCGCGGAGGCGCGCTAGGGCACGGAGGGCTCGAGGGCGCGAGCTAGGCTAGGCTAGGCAAGGATTCTAAACCTACTCGTGATGTCAAGAATAGAACTAGGAATGGATTATTGAACTAGGCAAGAGATGAGTACAAGTAGGGGAAACCTAACCCTAAAGTGTTGTACTCACTAAGGAGTGACCCTACTGTAGCCTAGAGATACAATTGTAATTTGACACACCCCCATAGGCAAAGTAGGGGACAGCAAACACAACAAGCAGTCACAAGACCAGTCTGCAGAAGAGAACACAGCTCAGGGTGGATCACAAAGTCACCACGCATTTTGAGCACAAGCAAGTGGCCACAAGGCCAGTTCACATGCAGAGGTATATAATAGCAAGGCAGTACACTGATCACAACCTAGCAAGAGAAAACATGCAGGTATAAAGATATATAGCAGTGTACAACAAGAGCAAGTCAAGCAACCAACAGGTGAGGCAGAGTGGGCACAAGCCCAAGAGCAGTGCAGAAACGGTGATGATCACCAGACCCAAGGGCCTTGGTGAAGACATCAGCAGTGTTGGCCCGAGAGGCCACGTAA